AAAAAAAAAAAAAAAGTTACACTTAAAAAAAAAAAAAAGTTCTGATCTTCCTAGGAATAGAAATTGTAAGCCTGGAAGGGATCTTAAGGACGATCCAGTCCAACTGCATTCTGCAGACAGGGAAGGTGACTTTCCCAAGGTCACGTGGCTAATAAGAGCTGGCCCTAGAACCCAGCTATTCTGACTCCTAGGGGCTTATCCCTTCCTCTTGCCTTTTTCTGCCCTCAAGGCTGCCTTGCTTATTGGGTGAGAGGACTCACATCCTTTGATGGGTTGAAACCTGCCTTAAAAATCAGTGTGGGGACCAAGATCTGCAGTTATAATTGGGCCTAGATTTGGGGCTGCTAACTCTGTGTCTAGAGTTAGGCGCAGTGCTTGCACGAACAGTGGCCCCTGGGAATGGCCAGGAGGGAAGGACCCCAGCCAGCGCCCAGGTAGGGTCACCTCAGTGTTACGCTCCAGGGGAACCAGCGGCTCCCCCAGCGGGTTGGTACCAGGAATTCCCCCTGCCTAGTGGCTCAGTTGCTGAGTCCTTTAGGCTTTCCCTTTTGTGGGGCAGAGCAACCTGGAAGCTGAATAACTGGCAATCTTGTCCATAGCTCATCTCTCATCTCCATGCTTCTCCTGCTGCAGGACTGCCAACGTGGTCAGGACGGAAACGCCGGCCTTCGTCCAAGGGGAGGCAGTCTATCTGTCTGGCTAGGGGAGGCTGCACTGGGGCCAGAAATCCAGAGACCAAACCAAATGCGTGACTTTGAGAGTTTCTTCTTCTCTCACCCCTGGCTCACTTAAAAGCCCTTGATATCAAAACAGTAGTTCACACACGTTTTTGTGGGATTCACAGGCTAATACACGGGGTTTCAGCCTTCTCGTTTCTGGGCAGAACTGTCGAATAAGGACGTTTTGTTTTGGGCAGGAGAAGCACGTGGCCTCAGAGAGCAATAAATACATCCTGGTCTCAAACATGGGGTGGGAGATAGGAAGGCGCAGAAGAGAAGCGAACACATCCTGCAGTTGGACAGAAAAAGCCAGGGAGGTTCCAGGACATATCAAGTAAGACTGCCCAACAGAGAATTCAGCGCACAGAACAAACCCAGGGCATGTCTATTCTTTAGATTCTTTAGAGGCAACACCCCAAGATTTGCATAACTCTGTTGCACTAGAGACTGGGACTGGGACTAGGGGTCATCATGCCCAAGAGCTATCTGGAAAAGAGTACGCAGCCCTTGAAAGACAAATAGGCAAAGCAGTGAAACCTCAGCCAGAGAATCTCTGGAATGGCTGAATCATTACTCTCAAAGGTGTGGCTTGCTTTGAAAAATATCAAATAAATGAGAACAGAGGATATAAAGTTGTACCGAGAACCTTCTCATCCCCATTCTGATATTTCATGTAAAGACCCTAAAATGACACAGCACAGCTGAGCCCCAAATTGTTGGCTGGACCAGCAGTACTGGTGCAGCTTGAGCTATCTGGGGTGCTCTTGGGAGTCCGAACCAGCAGGTGGAGGACAGGAGGTCTGTGGCCACTGAAGAGACCAACAGCACAAGAGGAGGGAGGCCTGCTGGCTGTTGGCACCCAGAGCGCGCGGCTGGTCATTAGGTCTCTAACCATCGCTCCTGGGGCTTCGAGTCAAAGCAACTGTGAAGAAAGGGTATTTTATTCTCCGGGAAGGGACCAGAATTCAGGGTCTATCTGTCTGGTAAAATTAATTGCATAAGAGAGGGTGCCTGAAATTACCTAGCATGCGGTTTACACTTTCATGATTTCTTGGCCATAGAATCCAATATTCCTGAGATTGAAAAGCTTGTGAATTTTTCATCACAAGGAAAACTTTCTGGCAAGAAAAGGCATCTTTCATGTGAAAAGGCTGTGTGACGCAGCAGGCCATGACACCAACCTAAGAGTTTATAGATGCTGTCCCACGCTTTTGAAAGGCACAAACAGATGAGGGAACTCTCTGTAACCCCTTTACCCGGTCTATCTAATGGGAGAGGGTCAAATGTTTTCCTAATAATTCAGTTTTCTTTTCCTGAGAAAGAGGCAGCAACCACCCCCATGCCTTGCCCAATATCCAGGATGTGCCAGGAGAATCAATTAGTCAACACCTTGTTTTGATTTTCCCTCTCCCTAGAATGAAGAAGATGTTCACAGTGGAAGTGAGGAAACATTTTACTCTAATTTAGCCTTCCCTGAGAACTGAGCTGACAGTGCTCCCATGCTCATACAAAATCCTAATCAGTAGTAGCTTCTCTTGGAAAATGGTTGGAAACGGAAGAGAGAATTTTGGATATTCTAAAAATGGGGTCTTGCTAGGGGAGACATATTTCCTATTCTGGAATTAGGCTCTTGAATGATAAACTCTGGTTTAAAGAGCATGTAATGTTTCAGAGGGCCATGGAGAACTACATTGTCATTTTCGGGAAAGAGATTAAAAAATGGACAGAGGTAGTATATGTTAAGAGAATGGACCACTCTAAGCACTGAATACCACGGCCAAATGAGGAGGACTTAAATGACCTGCACACACAAAATAAACCCACCAAGGGAGAAAATGCCTATAAAGACCAAATACGTTAGGTATTACTCTGGGGTCATCATCAAGGACTAACCGTTTCATTTTGTGCTAACGGAGTATCTGTCCAGGTTTGGGCATGATATTTTAAAAGGTTGTTTTTGTCCAGACGAGGACAGACGAGATGTGACACGCAGGAGAAGTATGCTATGTGAGGAATGCCTTAAAGGACTGGGAAAACGCCAGTTGGAAGTAAGGTTAAGGGGAGGTGACCAACTACACAAGGGGCTGTCACATCAAAGGGCACTCTGGACCGTGTGGAGCACCCAGGGGCAGACCCTGACTCACCTTAGTAAAAGCTTTCTGCTTATTAGAGTCGCCCACCTTTCGAGGAATAAATGCACGGCTACCTGACTGTGGGTCAGAGCTGGGGCAGTGGGGTGCAGGTGGGGGTCCCTGTGACAACAGAAAGCTCAACCAAATGACCTCTGGGCTTTGCCACTCTAAGATTCCGTGACTCTCATCAATGGGTTGGGAGGATCTCATCACTTCAAACCTCTAACAAGAAGTCATTTCTCCTGTTGGCTTCTAAGAAAACAGATGTCTCTCCCCTAAATCTAGCCACCGGAAATAATCACATTCACCACCATTACCACAGCACGATCTATCTTCTATCTTCTTTGTCACAAGGTTGCAAGTGTCCCCAGATACTCTACTTACACCATATATGTCTTTCCGACCTGCTTCCACTCCCTGGTCCGCCTCCCACCCATCCACCCTCCCCAGCTCTCATGCCTCCTTACAAGGACTTCCTTTCTCATTAGGAGCAGGTGCCAGAGTGAAGAGAGGAAAACAAGGTCAAAAGGAGGTGAGGCAGAATGGGGTGTTCAGAGCCCAGATTTTCTAATAAAGAAAATCACTGTGTAGGGAAAACAAGTGGGAGGTGAGAACAGGGGGCTGGCACTTATGCCAGGGTCTGGCTTTTCGGCAAGAGGGCCCGTGGTGCCGCCAAGGCAATTCTTCTGGTCTTCAGAGCGCCCCAGGAGAAATGATTTTCCATAATGGCCAAAGACAAGTGAGGTCAGATGCTCTGTTCTAGCTTTTACACCATGTGGTAAGGTGGTGGAGGGGAGACAGAAAGGAAAATAGAAGGATAGAAAGGAAAGGAATAAAGGAAGCCAGGGTCATCTGAGCCCCGGGGAAGGGGGCCAGGCATGAAGGAAGAATAGGAATTAAGACTAATCAGGGATGTTACTGGGTTGTTGATAGAAAAAGTAACAGTAACACCAGCAAGGAGTCAGAGAAAAGTCAGTTCCTGAGAGGTGCAGACTAGCAGAGACCTTCAATGCAGAGTCATTGTCACCTTGGAATCTAATGGAAACATAGCTCTAGAGGCTGTCCGATGATTATGCCAACATCCTGTTTCTCTTGGCATCCCAGACAGGATCCTGGAATGGCCACCGTAAGACTCACCTATTTTATCAGAGGACACTGGGTCAGTGGAAAAGGCTGTGGGGTACTGGTTTGGCTAGAGGCCTTACATGTTTGGACCAAATCCAATGTGGACAAGTAGCTGAGCAGCAGGAAGCTGGGGTCCACAGCTGAGCCTGGTGTACTCCCCAAGGCCTTCTCCAGATGGCTCGAATGATCACAATCATGCTTCAATTAAAACTGTCATAAAACTCAGGGGGTGGGGGGCATGGGAGGAACAGGGCACTGAGAGTGCAGAGGAAATGTACAGTGCAGAGGAGGTGACCGGAGGAGGGTCAGAAAGACGTTATCCTTCCACCAAAACAGTCACTTCTTTTGGTTGGAAGGCAATGGCTGCGGAAGAGGGGAGGGGGCAGCAAATCCTGCCCTTTCCCTCCTAAATCGGGAGCCTAGTCTATTTGGATAGTTTGCTGATGACTCTGATGAGGGCACCGTTTTCATCTTTCAGCCTCTGGTTGTCGGATTTCAGTTCTGTTAACACCTGTAGGGTGACAGAGGGAAAGGTGTGTTAGAGCTTAGCAGCATCACCTCCTTACCCTCCCTGACCAGGCCAGGCCAGGCCAGCCCATGAGCAAGGCGTTCTGAGGCAGCTTATGCAGTGGACTGTCACTACCCTTTCTCTCAGGGATGAAAGTCCCCTGACTCTTCCTATTTGTTGAGTTGGTAATGTTCATATTTAGGGAGACCACAGCACCTCCATCTTTTGAACTAGCATATTTAGCAATAACGTCTTATTTCACGTTCCACACCATGTATCCTTTCATCCTCCTGAGTCAGTAACTGTTTATAATTGTTCCAGCCCTTGAACTCACTTCTAGTCTGGAGAAATTAAGGAGAGTGCCAAAGTGAGCTGGTGAGGTCACAGAGGAGAAACTGAGAAAGCAGTACTGGGTCAACTAAAAGAGTTAAGGACAGACACTGCTTCACATCCCATCAAAAACAGGAATGCAGGGGAAAGCGCCACAACTCGGCTGTCACACCCACAAGATGATTTAAGATCCTCCTAGTGCGTTCTGTGATAAAAATCCACCTAAATTCCTGCTGGTCATACTACACATATCCACTTTCAACCACTAAAACCCAAGGAGTTTATGGATTCGGTCACTGCATGGCTGTGACGCACAGTGAGCACTAGGCATGTATTTAATTCTCACCCCGAGCTCCGTGTGGGTAGCTATCATGGGATACTAGGGGGCCTTAGCAGCAGTTTTAGGGGATAGTGTTACAAATCCAGGAAATAGGTGCTTTGGGGAATGGGGGAATAGAGATTTCAATTCTATCAGTTCTGCCATCTTGGAACACGACACATAGTGCTGGTCAACATGCAAACAAGGGAAAACCGGCAGCCCAAGCCCTAGTCCGGATAGCCAAGTCTTTATATGCGAACAGGCACACTGACCGGTGTGCTGTGCATCTAAAAAACCATGATGGGACGTTGCTGAGGGGATAGTTTATGTGTGGGCCCTGCTGGCAGTTTAGGGAGACTTAGGTTAGAGGGAAAGTACATCTTCACCATGAAGGCTACAGAAATCTCATCTCTTCAATGCAAACGTTCTTTGATTTTTTTAGTCATCAAACCTACAGGACTCTAACAGCAGGTGAGGTCGCCATTAAAGGATGGCCTGGGCTCGGAGGTCATGAGGCCTGTTTAATTCTGGTTCTGGCTCTGCTATTAACCCCTTGTGGGATCTAACTGCACCTTAAGAACAGAATTTTTGTTTCCTTAATCTCTTATGGAGGATGTAGATTATACAAATACATATGTGTATGCACACATATATGCATCACAGAGACATAAGGGATTTGTACTAAGGGAACAAAAAGAAAATAGTCTTGAACATCCATACTGTGGAAGGCGCTGTATTAGAGGTTCTCACTCCCATGGTCTCATTAGCACCTCATGAGTCTGTGAAACAGTTGTTATCCTTATGTTTACAAATGAGGAAATGAAGACTTTCATAACCAGTCCAAAGTACCCAGCTATTAAATGGCAAAGCTGATACTGAGCCCATGTGTGCCTGATACAACAGAGGTTGTGTGGGGCTGGAAAAAAAAACAGAAGTCCAGAATCTCAGCACTGTCATTGTCATGAACGATCTCTATTACTTTAAGCAAATCACTCAATTTGTCTGGGCTTCCATTTTTGTATCTAAAGAAGAATCATCATCTCTGCCCTGGTCGCTCATCAAGTCGGGACTCTGTGAGGGCCCCAGGAGGTACCGGATGTGGAAGTGTGATGACGTACATAATATGCTCTGCAATACTCCGGATTCTCACGACTACTGTGAGTTCTCCCATGAATGTGGGATGGCGAGTAGGTAATCTACAAATTTTACTAAAAAGATTTTAACCCAGATAGTATCAAAATAAAGTTTTGGTCCTTTAATCCTGCCTCTCCTACCTCCAACCTAATCAAAGCTGTTCTGGCTGCTCTCTTTCGTGCCTCTATCCCCGTGGCCTTGACTACCAGAAGTGTGAGCTCAGAAACTCAGTCCAAGAAGATTTTTAGAAAAAGTCAGCCAGGATGGCCCCGCAGTGCTTCACCGTCCCATCTGCTCTCCAATGCCCCATGCTGGGTCCCACAGCCAGCCTGGGTATCAGTGAGACTCTGAACGTTGTAGTTCTGTAATAGGATTCCATAGGCAGGGAAGAAGCTATCTATGTCATTGGATTTTATTTCCGGGCAAGCAGCTCATCAAATCAGAACTGATTTTTAAATGTACAAACAACTCGTTGAGCTTTGATGATTTATTTCCACATTAAGAACTCAATTCTTTGAAGAAAAAAAAAATTGGACAAGGCAATTTCCCAGCCGCAATATACTACAACTGACATCTTAAGGGAGTGTCAAAAAGTACAAGAAGTGGAATGTAGAAATCAAGGGGGAAAACAGTCTCATAAACTTGACTCTCAAAAGAGAGAGGAGGAAATGAACAGTGTTATCTGATATTCACTTCAAGTTAAAGAATGATTAAATAAGAACACATGTGGAAGCACTACAGAAGTATGAGGTTTAACAAAGCTTTATCGTTTCAACCCCCTGGAGGTCAGCTTTCTTAACTTCTAAATTTCCAGTTCACCACAGTGTGATGTTAAGGTATCTTGGACAAATAAAATTTAAGTGCATGTTTTCCCAAACATGACTTCGTCCAGCCTTTGATGAGGAATGTGTTGAAGAGGGAGAGGATCTGAGGGTCTTGAAGCTGTGGAGACCCGGGAAGGACAAGGCCAGCCGCAGGGTGATGGGGGCTCAGGATGAGTCTTGCCTAGGCTGCTTTGCTTCTGACTACTTGGGAAGTGGGGAGGGGGTCCCACTGCTTATATATTCTGTTGGAAGTGGGTTGCACGACACACTGAGATAAGATGATTTCTCTAGGGGATTATTTAAAAACAAGACAAAAACAAAAAGGCAGGGCAAACTCTCTTGGCCACACTGTCAGTTTGGCTTAGTTATCGTATCTTTCCTTCTGGTAGGGGTCGGCATTTTCTGTAAAGGGCCAGATAATAAATATCAAGCCATGTGGTCTCTGTTCCAACTAATCGACTCCGCTCTTGTGGCATAAAAGTACTTAGGAACATAATGATAGTATGTAAACAAATGAGCATGGCTCAGTTCCAATAAAACTTTATTTTTGGACATCAAGATTTGATTCCATATATTTTCATGTGTCACAAAATATTCTTCTTTTGATTTTCTTCCCCCAACTATTTGTATGGCTCATGGGCCATACTGACGGGCCACAGGTTGCTGATCTATTACAGCAGGTCATATGCTATGCAATGGTTTCTTTACAGGGGCAAAATCTTTTGGTAGGTAAATGGCTGTTTGGGAAGTCAAGAGTGCGGAGAAAGCAGAATGCTGTCCTTCATCCCTCAGCTGCAATGGTGGGGGCACACTGTTGTCGTTCAATAGGTTCTTCTTGCACCCATTTAGGCCATATGCTTAACAAATGGCTGAAACTCTGTGCCAAATATGCAGGCAGCTAATATCACAGTGGCTGAGTGCTTGGGCTCTGGAACCTGACATATTTGGTTTGAATTTTGGTTCTACCACTTACTCTCTGAATGACCTTGGACAGGTTACTTAATCTGTAACTCATTTTTTCCCGTATGTTAAAATGATTGCTCTGGGCAATAGGTGAGAAAAAGCATATACGGTACTGTGCACAGGCCTTAATAAATGACAACCGTGACCTTAGTTACTAACTACCGAAAGCACAAGATCTAGTTTTGCTCTATATCCTATACTATCTTGCACAAAGAGGGAAACGAAAAATAACTGGGACATCTTTTGTGGGTCCCTAGTTCACCCCTGTCAAATTTTCCAGTAACCCTGAGGCTTACTGTAAAGCGTGGAGTTTGGACCTAACACGGCACTCGAGCAGTGGGGTAACGAAGCTGCTTGGTGCCAGGCTGTGGTACCGCTTCCCTTTTAATCTCCCTTGTGTGTGTGACAGCATCTACAGCAGGGTATCAGCTCAGCCCTTACGGTGATCTGGGCGCTTCAGATCTAGCGGGCATTAGTTGCCAGCTACTGATCCTGAAGGCACAAGCAAATAGGCAGAGAAAAGAACAGGCATTGGTCAGGACTAATTAGATTGTTGCTGGAAATTAAAAACTCATTTCAGAGAGTGAAACTGCTCAGCAATGGTGACCCCATCACACTACTGTGGGATGGGAAAACAATTTATCTGTGAGCTTGTCTTTCAGACCTACATCCAGGGAAAGGCTCCAGTTTACCAACCATATTTTTCGGTTCTCAGTTGAGAATAAATCCCTGCTCTCTGCTCCAATGACTGTCATCTCCTTTGCAAAGCTAGCCCCATTAGGGAAGGTCTGGCTTCCCTAATGTGTGAGGGTCTCATTTATCCAGGCTGTGTTCTGCCTCACAGCCCACACACTGGCTAGGGGTGGGGGTGAGGGGGCACATCCCTAGGGCCCAGAGATTTGTGACAGGGATGAGAGTGATGCCTCCCAAGGAGGGGGAAGGATGCAAAGACAATTGCAGAAGGGAGGCAGAGAATAGCCAAATTCTACTCAAATGGTGGGATGGACAGTGTTGGTGCTGATGGTGGAGCTCTAGCATTCAGCGCTAGTCATCCCCATCTAGCATGCTGTCAGGTGTGGAAGACTTAGTTCTGTCTGGTGTGCAAAGGGCCATTTTCAACCCTGGTTTCACAAAAGAATCGACAGGGGAAGTCTGAAAAAATATTGATGCCTGGGTCTCAGCTCAGACTACTGATTTGGGGGGTTGGGGGATGGGGTAGGCCCAGGCATTATATACATTAAAAGCTCCCAACCAGGGTTGAGAACCCCTGCCCTTGGTTACCCCAGGCCCAACAACAATTTGGAGTCCAGGACCAGCCCCAACTGCTCCAGCAACCAGGTTGCACTTGGGTTGCTGCTGACTGAGAAAGCTCAATCTCAGTTTGGCAATGACGCCACCAAAGAAATTTGCACATCCACAGGTGCATGCGTACG